GGAGAATTAAAATCTTTCCCAGACATTCAATCCCTAAGAACTTATGCTGCCTCTAGACCAGCTGTACACTTAAGAAAGTATTAAATACAGAACAAAGGGAAAAAAAGAATGACAACGTCCTTCACAAGAGTGCAGGAAAAAGATTGAAAACACACATGAATCACCTCAAAAATCAAAAGAAAGACAACAAACAAACAGGAACATCAACTCTATAAGAACCGCTTGACAGAGATAAACTCTCACATTTCAATAGTTAGCCTGAGTGTGAATGCACTAAATGCACCACTGAAAAGACATAGAATGGTAAAATGGATAAAATATCATCAGGCAACAATATATTGTCTCCAAGAAACTCATCTCACCAGAAAAGACACTCACAGACTCAAAGTAAGAGGATGGGAAGCAAAATTTCAGGTGAACAGAACACAAAAGAAAGTAGGAGTTGCGATCTTAATATCAGACAAAATACCTTTCAACCTATCAAAAATTTTAAAAGATACATAAGGTCACTATATAATGATAAAAGGTTAAATTCATCAACAAAAAATATCCATCTTAAACATATATGCACCAGCCAGGCTCGGTGGCTCAGCCTGTAATCCCGCACCTTTGGGAGGCTGAGGTGAGCGGATTGCCTGAGCCGCGGGTTCAAGACCCTCCTGGGCAGCGAGACCTCATCTCTACAATAAAATCAAAAAATCAGCTGGGTGTGGTAGTGCATGCCTGTAGTTCCGGTTACTCGGAAGGCTGAGGCAGAAGGATCGCTGGAGTCCAGCAGGTCGAGGCTGCAGTGGCCGGGAGCAGCCACTGTACTCCAGTCTGGGCGACAGAGTGAGACTCCAACTCAAAAACAAAAAAAAACCCCAAAAATAAAAATAAAATAAAAGCCCGGTGTAGGGCAACCCTCTTTTAGGACCCAACCTGCTTGGGAGCTTTTTTTGTCTCAATAAACTCCTGTTTTCCAAAAAAAAAGCCTGGTGTTGTACACCTTTCAGTCTAAGCTACTAGGGAGGCAGAGACAGAAGGATCAACTGAGTCTAGGAGGTCGAGGCTGCAGTGAGCCGTGATCATGCCACTGCACTCCAGCCTGGGTGACGAAAACCCTGACTCAAAAAAAAACCAAACAAAACATGCAAGCTTTATTGAGGTCTTCTGACAGGCAATAAATTGCACAGATTACTTACTCCCTTAGTCTTCCTTGCCTCTTTATACAAATACACAAAAGTCCTCAGCAAATATGTGACCAAATGTCACATAAACCTGCCAATGTCTTCTATGGTGACACTCCTGACCAGAAAGCGTATTTTTTTCTCAGGTTTAAAATCAGATTTTTTCTAACACAAAAAAGCCACCTACTCTGTACTACCAAAATAGGTAAGTATAACTTTAGAAGATATATCTATAAAACATGCTGAACAGCTCAAGAAGGTATACTTTTTCTGTGTACCTGTACACATTTGTAGATGTGGGCTGATAAGAATTCTCTGCTACAACTTTGAAAACCTGTTTACTATCAAATAATGTTTAAACTTAAAGGCATGTTGTAAGCTTTGCAAGACTGAACGAAATACTGTTTCTGATGATACCTGACTTCACCCAACAGATGAAATAAGGAACCTCTAAGGAACGTACCTCTCCTCCTTTGCAAACCTTCAGCAGTCTTTCTGAGCTTCTTCCGTGCACTGACAAGCTGGCTACTGTCAAAGAGGTGTGCCGAGGGGGCACTGGCAGACTTGGGGATCCTCTTCTCATTCCCCTCCTTTCTAGGCATATCTTTCTCCAGTGTCTCTGGGGCACTGTCCTTAGCAACAGGCAGAGGTGGTGGTGGCGGTGGAGGAGGTGGAGGTGGGGGAGGGGGTGGTGTTGGAGGAAGAGGTGGTGGGAGTGGATCTTCGATGACAGAACAGAGTTCAAGGTCATTATTATTGAGAAGCGGAAGAGAGACTGGGGCAGGCAGTTCAGAGGTAACACCAATGAGAGGTAATGAAATGGCTTCAGGTTGTGCTAATGCAGTGTCTTCAAGTTGTGCAAGGCTCTGAGGTTCTGCTGTCTGTGATGGCCCCAGCTTGCCTCTTCTTTCTCCCACCTCTTCAGTTTTCTCTTCCACCTGTAACACTCCTGGGAGAGAGTCACACTGATCCTCTTGGGGAACAGGACTTGCTGCACTTTTTCTTCTTGCATGAGCTAGTCGTAATCTGGTTGACTTAAGTATGACCTGCCCAGGATACCTCTAAAATATCAGAAGTTATGATAACTGGTTAAATTATATTAAAGCAATGTATAAACAAATGCCTATTTATTTTCTCCTTCAAATGAAATAAGTCATTTTGACTCACTGATGAGTTCGCTTTTTTTTTTTCTGAGTTGGAGTCTCACTCTGTTGCTTAGGCTGGAGTGCAGTGGCACACTCATAGCCACCCCAGTGTCGACGAGCCTTCCACCTCAGCCTTCTAAGCAGCTGGAACTACAAGTGCATACTACCACGCCCGGCTAATTTTTTAATTTATTGTAGAGCTGAGGTCTTGCCAAGTTGCCCAGGCTGGTCTCCAACCCGTGGCCTCAGGCAATCCTCTCACCTCAGCCTCCCAAAGTGCTGGGATTAATTACAGGCTTGAGTCACTGTGCCTGGTTGGTGATTTCACTCTTAATAAAGTGATAGAGAAAAATCAGAAGATACCTAACACCTTTCAAACAACCATCATGAGTGCTTTTATTATTTGCCTGAAAAAATCCACTGTTAATGCCTTATTCCTTAGGGTCTTAAGAAGTCAACTGTTCACAACTGCCACATGATTTTAAAAAGATCTCTACTGAACAAAACTACCCACTTAAATATAAAAAATAAGCCTGGGCACAGTGGCTCACATCTGTATTCCCAGCACTTTGGTTTGCTTGAGCCCAGGAGTTCCAGACCAGCTTAGGCAACATAGCAAAATCTTGTCTCTACAAAATATAAATAAATACAAAAAAGATTTTTTAAAAGTTGGGTATGGTGGTATATATCACAGTGGTAGTCGCAGCTATTTGGGAGGCCAAGCCAGAAGGATCGCCTGAGCCCAGAGGGTGCAGCTGCGGTGAGTGATGACTGCCACTGCGCTTCAGCCTGGACGAGACCCCAACAACAACAAATAAACAAATAAACAGCATTTAACAACAAAACATAAGTAATGTCAAACATGCATATGCTACTGGTGTGTAAAAAGATAATGATTTATTAGTTTTTTGTATGTTTTCAAATGCTTACAAATGAAAAAATTAAAACACTGATATTCTTTTTAAAGAAGTTACTTGGCATTTTTAGAAAGCTCCAATAAAAATACAGGCATTTTATGACAGAATGAAAGAGAGGGAATCACATTTTTTAGAGTACTGATAGACAGAACTCTCATTTTATAGTTTTTACTATAGTAAAACCTAGTATTAACATTCATTTGGTGGACAAAGCTTATCCTGATGTTAAGGACAGCTTTCCCCAACCCCTTTTCCTCTGTAGTACTAAAAGGACTTGATTCCAAGCTCCCTTCTCCTATCAGGTGATCCTTCAGCACAGACAAGTGACACTAGGTACTGGTGCACATCAGCGTCTAGAACCAAGTGCTGGGCTTAGGCATGGTTCTGATAGGGTGTAGAGATGCTGTGCCATCAGTGCCCAGGGGCCTGGGATAGGCCGGATAGGGTACTGTGCAAGCATCTTTCCTGGTGGTTCTCTATCCTCCAATTCCACCAACGGTCGTTTCCATGTGGTACCACCACAGGGTGACACACGGGAAAGCTGGATAGTCAGCTGTGAATTCACTAGGTTTTTAAATTCAAGAGGAATCTAGGCTTCCCAGAGGCCCTTGTCATTCCTTTTATACTACTGAAGCTGTGGACCAAGGGTTGCAAGAATACTAATTACGGAAATACCAGAGGAAAGAAGGAATCAAAATAATTTTTAAAAAGACTACCATAGCTATAGTATTTTCTAAACAAACAAGGGAAAATCAAATTTTTCTCAAATAAAGAAATCTTGACTGCACATGATTGCTCATGCCTGTAATCCCAGCACTTTGGGAATCCAGGTGGGAGAACTGCTTGAGTCCAGGAGTTTGAGACCAGCCTGGGAAATATATGGAGACCTCGTCTTTACAGAAAAATAAAAAAAATTAACTGGGCTTGGGGACATGCCTGTGTAGTCCCAGCTACTCGGGAGTCTGAGGCAGAAGTCTGAGCCCAGAAGGTTAAGGATGTGGTGAGATACGACTGTGCCACTGCTCCAACACGGGTGATAGAGAGGGACCCCGACTCAAAAGAAATCAATAAATAAAATAAATTTGACAAGTGTGTACGTAGCTGTTTTAAAAGCAACAACAACAACAAAAAAATAAAGGAACCAAACTTTTATTACCTGTTTAAATGTTCGAAGTCGATCTAGCGTTTTCTGTCTCTCTTGACTAACCCAGGCACTTTTTCTTTCTTCTTCATCATGTAATTTTTCTCTCTTCTGGTAAAAAAATTAAAAATTCCATTATGATGTGTCCCATTCATTTTCTAGCATCAATAAATACATATTTTTAAAAACTTTTCTGCACGTACTCCAAATTAAAGTTGTTACTTTGTAAGGTAAAATAAAATCTCAGAACTAAAAATGTTTCCTTTTTGGTGCTCTGGCTAAAAAAAATTTAAACAACAACAGCTACTTGGGAGGCTGAGGCAGAAACAATTCTAGCTGCTATATTCTGCTAACTCAAACATAGAGCACTTAAAAAATAAAATTAGGGCTGGGCACAATAGCTCATACCAATAATCCCAGCAGTTTGAAAGGCTGAGGTGGAAAAACTGCTTGAGCCCAGGAGTTAAAGACTAACCTGGGCAACATAGCACGACCTTATCTCTACAAAAAATAAAAATAAAAGATAAGCCAAGTGTGGTGGCATGTGCCTGTGGTCCCAGCTACTTCAGAGGCAGAGGAAGAAGGATTGCCTCAGCCCAGGAGGTCAAGGCTGCAGTAAGCCGCGATCATGCCACTGTACTCCAGTCTGGGTGACAGAGTGATACTCTGTGTCAAAACAAATAAATAAATAAAAAAAATAAAGATTATGTTTAGGCATGGTGGCTAATGTAATCCTAGCACTCTGGGAGGCCAAAAGTTCCTATTGGACAACACAGCAAGGCTCTATCTCTACAAAAAATATTTAAAAATTAGCCAGACTAGCTCAGGCCTGCAGTCCAAAGCTAATTGTGAAGCTGAGGAAGGAAGATGGCTTGAGCTCAGGAAGTCAAGGCTGCAATAAGCTATGATTACACCATTGCACTCCAGCCTGGGCAAAAGAGTGACGGTGTTTCTCTAAAAATCAATTAATCAATATCAGCAATCATTCGGTCAATAATTTAGATAGGGCAAACTCCTCAGGTCCCCTCCCATTGTGGGAGCTTTTCTGTTTTCTCAATAAATGCTGTTTTCTTTAAAAAACAAAAAAACAAAAAAAAGTGGCTAGTATACATTATTTCAAACAATAAAAAACCAGCAGTTAGAAAAAATATGCTTCAAGCATTATCCATGAGTCATTTAATTTAACTTTTTGCACTCAGATGTTGCCTCCTGAAGGGACATCATAATTTAGCAAACAGCTCAGATGTCCTCTCTCAGGGAACATAAAGAGATTGCTCGTGTTTATACAGGACAGAGTTATGCAAGCGAACATTTTTCAAAAATGTGTATTTCCTTGAAGTTTTCCATTCAAATTGCATAAAAAAGCAAATAAAGAGATGAAATGTATACTGAGATATGATTAATCAGTTGAGAAGTGGTTTTTCAGAAACCACAAGTGTGTCCTTTCATATCATCTTTGAACAGACTGGACAATAAATTACATATTATTAATGTAGGAGGAAGAAAACAAGACTGCATTGTCTGCTCAAATTGAAAAACACCAGGTGGAAGATGTCCTACAAGTTACTACTGTACAACATGTACCAATGAACCTACAATGCATGTTGGTGATTGTTTCACACATTAGAAAAATATAAGATACAAAATTTTGATTTTTTTGGTCTTAAATAAGTTCTTCAATGTCCAAAATTCCATTATAAACCAAATATCACTACAATAAAATAATCTGTCTCAATACTATACTATTTAATATGAAGTGATTGGTTTTTACTGGTTTTTCACTATTTGGTAAAAAAGTACAGTCAAGTTGCTGGTAGGTGATCTGTGCGATGTCTCCAAGAACAAAGGGTTAATATTACACCTCATAGTTAGCAGTTATCTACACAAAACTTTAAAAATCTTCCCACGTTGTTCAGTCATCTAAAAGCTGCAAAATAAAATCTCACTTGGTAAAGTACATTTTAGTTCAAAGAAAAAGCTTTCTATATAGGTAAAATGGACGGTCTTATTTCTCTGCTTTGTTTTAAAAAACTAGACATCTCCTATAGACCAGATAATTTCATATGGAAATAAATCCCTCTCTCTTCCATTGTTCTGTCCTCTTCAAATTTAATCCCCCATTATTCTCTTATTCTATCACCTCTCTTCTCCTTCCCACCAGTTTTTCCCTGGACAATCTAATTTCTTTCTTTCTTTCTTTTTTTTCCAAGAGTCATCTCTCTCTGTTGACCAGGCTGAAGTGCAGCAGTACACTCATGGATACCACAGCCTCAAACTACTGGGCTCAGGTGATCTTTCCACCTCAGTCTTCCAAGCAGCTGGAACCACAGGGCATGTGTCAACAAGCCCAGATAATTTTTTTGATTTGTTGTAGAGAAGAAGTCTCACCAAGTTGCCCAAGCTCATCTTGAACCTCTGGACACAGGCAATCCTCTAGCCTTGGCCCCCCAAAGTGCTGGGATTACAGGCTTGAGCCACCACGCCTGGTCGACAATATAATTTCTAATGAAAGTTACTGCTACATTTTCCTTAGGTAGTTATATCAAATCCTAAGAAAATAAAAAGATCTCCCACTTTCCCCTGATTCCTTAAAAATGTGAGAGGAGGAAATAAAGATATGTGATAGGCTAATTATTTTGAATGAAATGTAATTGAGTAGCATAATTATTTATACATAAGGATAAAAGGTACCACATATGAACACAATTCAAAACGGCTCTCAGTCCAGCCTGAAATAAAGTGGCAAGAACCCAAAATAAGACATGTATGATTAAAAACAAAGAAAACAGGTTGAGCACCCCTAATCTGAAAACCCAAAATGTTCCAAAATCGGAAATCTTGAGAACTAACATGACAACAGACATGAAAAGGTCCACATCTGACTTCGTGTGACAGATATTAGTCAAAATCTAGTCAAAACTTTTTTCATGCACAAAATTTTTAAATGTATAAAATTACCTTCAGGCTATGTGTATATGAAACATAAATGAGTTTCATGTTTAGGATTGGGTCCCATCCCCAAGATATCTCATGTATAAGTAAATCTATCCAAATTTTTTTATAAAAATCCAAAACAACTTCTGGTTCCAAGCATTTTAGGAATGATACTACCACTCTTCAGGTCATGTAAGTGAACTGCCAATGAATGAATTATTAACCCATAAAACATGGGTAGGGGACTTTTAATTAAAGATAAAGGGAGTAAATGCAGTCTTGTCTCTGCTTCCTTGAAAGAAAGTTAGAAAAAAAATTCTTCTTCACATTAAACAAGGCGATATCAACTTTAAGCCACACATTATGATAAATACCTGCCAATACAATTTTGACACAAATCAGAAAGTACTTAAGAGTCATCTTTAGCCCTCTGATGTAAGAAAGCTCTCTAAAAAATAAATGTCAGTCTTGAAAACCCCATCAACCTCCATCAGTGAAAACCTGGGCAACATGGGCAGGTCACAGGAAAAGCTGAGAACGTCCCTCTAAATATCTGACTCCTTATCACAGAATAAATAGTACAATGGATGTAGCTGAAGAAGGAGGAAAAAAAAAGACAGAAAGCGTTATCTTTCTTTTCAGTGTTCCTCCCTGTTGAAAAGAAATTCCCTGTGAGGTAGGGAGGAAAGGAGTAGGCGATGATCTCCAAATAAACAGGCAGCCCTGACTTTCCACAGAAAACCCAGGGAACCACATGGGCTTCATGAATGGTTAAGGGGGTAGGTGCAGTCCTCTAAGCAGGGGACAGTCCAGGTCCAGCTTCTCTCTGCCCCCATTCTAAGAGGAGAAACAAACAAACAAAAAAGAAATGACATCAGGTGTTGTGTGGTAGTGGTGGTGGTGGTAGTGGCAGATAGCACATGAAAACCACAACAGAAGCAAGATATGTCTGAAAACAGGCCCTGCAGACAGGCTTTCAGACATCACACAAAACAAAAATGATAAAACTAATGAGCTAGAAGACAGCATCAGAATAAGAATCTAATGAGGACATCATTGGTATTATTTAAATAGGGAACCTAACATTCAGGAAAGCTTCAAGAAAACCTGAGATGTACAATCATCAGTCGATCATGATGACTCCATGAAAAAGAATAAAAAGGCCATCAGGTCAGGTGTGATGGCTCATGTCAGTAATCCCAGCTACTTGGGAGGTTGAGGCGGGAGGATGGTTTGAGTCAGGAGATCAAGGTTGTGGTGAGCCCTGATCATGCCATTGCACTCTAGCCTGGGCAATAGGTTGAGGAGGGGAGGGAAGGGGAGGGGAAAGAAAGAAAGGAAGGGAGGGGGAGGGAGGGGGGAGAGAAGGGAAGGGAAGAAGGTGGGGAGAAAGATTTATGTAAATTCCACTAGTTGATATGCACTTAAATTCTCCTGTTAAAAGTAAAATGTTGGGTTAGGGTTAGGGTAATCCCAGCACTTTCCTCAGGAGGGTTGCCTGAGCCCAGGGGCTTGAGACCAGCCTGGACAACTTGGCTGGTCATCACTACAATAAATAAAAAATTAGCCAGGTGTGGTGGGGCAAAAGCCTGTAGTTCCAGCTACTTAAAAGGCTGAAGCAGGAGAACTGCCTGAGCCCAGCAGGTCAAGTGGCTATGAGCATGCCATTTTTACACACCTGCCTGAGCAACAGAGTGAGACTTTGACTCCAAAAACAAACAAACAAACAAACAGGTAAAACATCAAGTGCTAGTTCAAGGGGGAAAAAAAAGATTTTGGTGGTTCTTTAATCTCTTATAGTGATCACGTATCTTATAAACACAGTAAAGGTTAAAAAAAAAAGGAACAATTGCAAGTCATTAATTAAAACCGCTCATAATAGAAGGATTTTAAAAGTGTGAAGAAATGTTCAGGATATGCTTCTAACATCTGATATGTAATCAAAATTTATACACAGACATCAAGATACTCATTTATCCATGGAGAAAAAAATCTTGCTTAGATAATAGGACCAATTTAGAAAACATTAACTAAAAGCAAACAAAACAAAAATACAACCCCCCCCACACAAACTTTCTTAAGATCCTAAAGGAGAAAAAGTCACACAGCATGTAAAAATGTCATCAGACAATAAAGTGGTAGAGAAAAAACCACTTAAGATAAAGAAATTCTTTCAC